AGCAGGGGGAAGTGGAGATAGACACTGACCTCGAACACACTGAGCTCTCCACTTCCTTCCTGTGCTGGCCTGCCTTATCAGGTTTCCTTCATCTTCCTCATGACAATTTGCTGGCTTACCAAAATGACTGTGAACCACTAGTTTGCCCCAATTCCCTTCTATACTGAATAAGAATTTTCCATCTTACACAATATGCAGGAATACTTTACACTCTCACTTACAGTGTATATAAACCTGCTTAAAACTTGTATATATTTAATGTGTAAAAGATAGCTTATTATTTTCTATTTTATGATCCTATTACATTCTAGTATCAAATTATGTATTTTATCATTTTTAGATACTTGTATTATTAGTTTTTTAAAATAATTTTTCATATACAATGTACCCATCTGCCCATCTATTGTATAGACACTGACGTGCCAATGTGCAAATACCAATTTAATCTTAATGGAGTTATGTGGTTAAATAAATGATTAAAAATATATGACATCACAGGAGAGTAAAAATTACATGTCAATTTTAATGCAATCTAGGTCAGATTACATTCTCCCAATACTAACCCTAATTTAGAATACCTTTAAGGCAGACTATGATTCTGACTATGATTTTAAATTAATAAGACACAAGGTTAAATCTAAACTTATGATCATTGCCGAGTCTAGACTATTTTATCGGTCCTGTGAACAAAAATATGTATTTAGGTCTTTCCAATTCTACATTAAAAAGACATACTGTACCATTCTTATAAAGTATCATCAAATTGACATTTTTAAAATACAAAAAAAATGTTTGTAACTTTTGACACAGTATTTCCCAATCCTGACATAAAAAAATAAATTAATCAACAAAACCTGCTTATACAGTGCTTATACAGTATCTCACTAACCACCCTTCCTCATTCTGCTCTTAAAGATTGCTAAAATAGCAGAGTGATGAGCAGTTGAACCTGGACATAAGCCAAGTTCCCCTTGATCTACTGTTGACTTCCAGTAGGATTACGTACACTAGGCGTGCAGCTGCCTTTAGTTTGGATCCCTGCTATTTTCTGAAATGTCATCATCATTGTAGATGTTATGTGTGGATCTTTAAAGGAACATCCCTTGAAAGCTTTGTAATCAATTTCAAAACATTATAATGTTGTTTTTTCTCACCCATTCATATTTATTTAGTTTGCACATTGGTTTGTATATTCAAATTGAAAGTCAGTTTTTATTTATGATGACATTGAGATGATCTGTATTAGGAAAATGTAACACACTCACATGTGTGACAGGTATAGGGTCTCATTTGAGTTCCATAACCTTAAATGTACTAATGAACACATATAATCACTTACAAAGGAACAGGGTTTATTCCATGCTGAAAAGAAAAGAAAGGAAACACAATGTTTCGGCCGTGGAGTCTTCTCCAGGTGTGAGTTTCATAATATTAATGGGTCAGAATACTTGATTGAGCAATAAACCTCACACCTGAAGAAGGCTCCACAGCCAAAACATTGTGTTTCCTTTCTTTTCTTTTCAGCATGGAATAAACCCGTGGAATTACCTGTTCCTTTGCAGCCTATGCATGCTGATGCAACTACCTATTTTAATTACTTACAGCTGTCCATTAACATGTTAGACTGCAGGAACTAGTATTTAGGTATTGATTAATGTATTTAAGCTTTGTAGTGTGCACTAATTTGAGGTATTTCGATTGTACATTTCCCTATTTATAAATAAATATAATTAGGCAAAATGATTATTTTCCTTACTGCTCAGTAATACAGTCCTATACTGTAATACCTGAGCTTTAACAAACTCCAATATAGCTGACATGACTATTACAGCAAAGTGTCTTCATTCTGCTCGTTCTTGAATGGTTTATTGCTCAATCAAGTCTTCTGACCCACTAACATTATGAAACTCTAGCAATTGTTAACATTGTTATCATAGTGGTACAAAATGTAGGAATAGAAGTAAATATTGTTATGCATAACAATGTATGTATTTTATACTTAAAGGTATAGAGGAAGTTAGACCTGATAGATTTAAGATTAGGATAATAAATGTGTGCATTCTTTATTTCTCTGAATTGTGAAACTTGGCAGCTGTTTTTGTCTTGCCCCACAGCTCCTTTACAATGAATGAACAGTTTCCATAAATCCGAGGTTAATCTCAGGGTAATGTTTGTTTTTCTGGAACTGGTACTGTACCCAGGAACTTTCTCCATACAAACTTTCTCTAATAAATCACATTACCACAATGTACTTTATTACTGTTTTTCACATAAGAGGGAATCACTAAAATGATTTAAAATATGAATTCTGCTAGTGACACTTGGCACAATTCTTACTTTTCATGCTACTAGTAAATATTTAACAGAGATTAGCAGTTTATGGGTGTTTACTATAGAAGCAGTAACTAAAAGAAAAAGGAACATAAGTGAAGTAAAATAATTTAATGACAAAGTTTATTGCATTTTTCAGAATGAGTGATTATAAATATAAAACCAGACTCATGTATGTTTTGATGAATCATCAAATCTATCCATTTTCCTACACACAACATTCCAAACTCCTTATAACATACTGAAATAAGAGAATATAAACTCCAGCACAGAAACAGAGCAAAACAATCTACGTATGCACAATTTGAATAGCTGATTTGATTGGCTCTTGTTGCCCATATTTGTTCATAGAACAACTTTGCATAATTACATTGATAAAATATGATACGACGTTAATACATACCAAGATTCCAGTCAAATGAATGAAAGGTTCCTGAGAAGTTGTCAGTACAGGATGTTGTGTTTATCTTGAAACTACAAAATATTCTACACTTGGACTCCCATTTATACAGCTACTCTTTAATGGTCATAAGAGTGTATGTTATAATACTTTAATGCAACATTGCTCAACAATGATGGTTGAACCATATTTCTCACAGGTTTGTAAAATGGACGCTGTTCCTTTTATTCTAGTTGGTCTACTTTACATACTTGTTAAAATGTGGTTTTGCTTTAGGCACCCTCTCTAATAAGAATGTTAGTAAATGAATTGCATCATCTTGATTCTCTAGATTATTTCTCCCTAAACTCACCACAGTAAAATATACACTCAACAAGCAACATAACAGGAACACACAACAAGTAACATGTTGGGCCTCTGGGGTTTTCAGGAAGTGCTTGGTAGGTATTCCACAAGGTTTAAAAATATCTGCAGCACAAGCTGCATTTCGCTCATTAGGCAGGAATTCCTTCAGCTGAAGTTATGACACCAGACTGTGTGGTATTGAACTCCATCTCCCACCAGCTCTTCCAGTTTTCAGTAGGACTGAGGTCTGGGAGTTGTCTGTGCCAGCGTGGGTGATGGAACTCATTCTCACTCTTCCCCACCATCCACAGACTGGTTGACTGGGAATTGTTGATATTTTAGACATCTCATATGATATTTTAAATAAGCAATTAAACTATAAAACTATAGCTTTGGTTATATAGTTATATAATCTTTAACTAGTGACAGATTTATTCCATGCTGAAAAAAAGAAGAAAGAAAACACAATGTTTCGGCCGTGAAGCCTTCACACCTGAAGAAGGCTTCACGGCTGAAATGTGTTTTGTTTCTTCTTTTTTCCAGCATGGAATAAACCTATTACTTGTTCCTTTGCAGCCTACGCATGCTGACGCAGCTACCCACCTAATCTTTAACAAGATAATCATATAACATAGACGTCTTTTTGTGTGCTTAGAATATTGTTTACAAAGTAACATGTGTGCTTTATCTTCATTTCCTTTTTAAAGAAGCCAGTAAAATTCCTTAGGGCATAAACATGTTCCCTGAAACACATAATTGGAAATTTGCAGCCATTAAAGCATTGCTTCTGGAAATGAATACATACATACAGTACTACATACAGTACAGTATTCCAAGAGGATAAAAGCACACAGTCTCTTTCACCAGTAAAAACTAAATTCGTCAAATACATCAAAGAAATTATAACATGAGAGGAAATTCACTGTAAAACAATGGAGCTGCAAATGCAGTTAAGGCAGAAAACACTTCTTTTTCTTAAGATTTTGTATTCTTAAGAGCCCATGATCAACCATTTCACTTGCTGTAGCGTTCTTTGCAAAACATTCTTAGATAATTATTTAATTATTTACAACAGATAGAGCATTACTCTTCAATGTCCTTTTCTGGTATGCCATATTTACCAAAGTACAAAAAGCTAGTCACTTTCTCTTTGCCATAAACCAATGCTATTTGTATATTGTATATACTGTATACAATATTTACCATGCTAACTATTCAATGCTGGTTATATTTGGTTATGGACGTAATTGTGTATTGTTGCAAAGCAAATTTCACAGATATATTTCTTGAATGGAAGAATACTTCAGGCTTAGACAGTGACTTTGTAAGACTTTTTTTTTTGCAATTCTTCCTATTAAAATCCATTATCGCCCACAACATCATCTCTGACCTATCATTGACACATCTGTGAGCTCCCATCCCCCTTTTGATAAATAATTCATGGTTTGACGCCACGGGCATATGTCTAATGTCTCTGATGTCCCCAAACGTGTTTCTGATATCCTTTAGGGGATAAAAAAAACGATGGTTTAAACAATAACGTGCAACAAACAACGTGATTTACAAATTTAAACAGCTTATTGATAACAGTGTTTTTTTTTTTACTTAGTAAAGTTGATTAGCCAAGAGTTTTGAACAACACTGAATTGCATTGTTACCGTCACCTCCACTGATAGGGACTAATACCCTATATTTTTTAGGCTTCGTTTACGATGACACATTTGTCAGCAATTGCTTCTTTCTCACTGTTCCGTTCATCGGGCTATGACCGACCGGACTATAGAGGTGTATTTGCAAACACAGACTCGGGACGGAGCTTTGAGCAGGCACTGTCTACAGTATTATATGGAACGTGTGAGTGGCAGACGGAAGAGAGAGAGTGAGACCGCAGCAGCAGCAAGATAGCAAGGGGAGGGAGCAGAGCAAGCTGTCAGCTGCACAGCTCGGTAGCTTGAAAGTCTGTGCAAGCTCTATACATCGATGTCTACCCGTTTGCGTGCGCAATGCAAAAGTGGGAAGTGAAATTGCATTTTATTTCTGTATTTCACTTCCACGTTGGTAGTCTACAAGGGAGATACGGTTTGTAAATATATTAATTTAATCCCGGTTATCTTTTCTTTGAACAGCAGTAATTTAAATACGTAGCTATAGATTTTTATAAATTAACATTATTTGAACAAAATAATGATGGAACATTGGAGGCAATGCGCGCTGTGGCTGATCAATTGTAAGGTGCTACCACCGAACCATCGGGTTACATGGGAGTCTGCCCAGGTATTTGATTTAGCCCAGACCTTAAGAGACGGGGTTCTTTTGTGCCAGCTTCTGAACAACCTGAGACCTCAGTCCATTAATCTTAAGGAGATAAATCTGAGACCGCAGATGTCACAGGTAAGAACAGTGTTTACATTTTCTTTCGCCGTACATTGTCACTGTAGTAATGTGATGATGACAGTTTTCTTTCCAACAAAAAGGACCATACAGCTGGCCTTTGTGTAAGTATGATTTGCTGTAAAACACTTGGTAACATCCTCTTTCATTTGGTAATAATTTTTTAAACATCTAGCTAACATAGTAAAGCAAAGCAACTTTCACAACTGTATTTAATTGGTCTTCGCATTGTGACATCCATATGTTTTCTAGCAACAGAACAGGAAGGGTAAAAAAAAGGATACAAAACGAAAATAATGAACGTTTTAGTCTGAATCTATGTACATTGAGGGATCTGAGCTTGTCTTTTACTTTGCCTAATGAAAGCATCACCTTAACTTTACGTACCGAGAAAGTATAAGGAAGTTATTTTAGTAAGAACCGTTATCTCAACGCAAACAATTCTGCCCTCTATAGGTGTAACGCCGGACCAGGATGTTTATGGCAAGTTACAGTAAAACAATGTAATGTTACAATGTAACAGCCAAAAAGCCGGAAAGAAAAGGCAAACCAGTGCACACATACAAAAAACAAAACGCACTTTTGATAACATTTGAGCGTTCTGCATCTTCATAGAATAATGTAAAACTTAAGAGAGAAAGAATGTTAAAACATCCCGTGAGTCACATCTTACTATAGCGTTATTTCAGCAAATTGGGTTTTATTTATATTTGCAGCAATAATTGTTTTTATTTAATGAGGAACAGTTAATTATGACAGTGCGAATAAAAATAATAGCCAGATCAATTTACTGGACTGGACAAGTAAGAAAGATTACCTGGCACTCAAAGTTACAACATGTTAGAGTGAAGAATAGCAGAGTATGTACAGTACTGTATATGTTTAGTCATACGACAACAGTTCTCTAGTATATTTCAAGGTCTGGTGTTATTTTTGGCTCCTCAGAATGCTGCAAGGACAGTTTCATTTGAAACTATCACACAAGAGGTTGGCTATTGTAGAATCCTGTCCTGTTTGAATGCTTGGTTCACGGGATAAGAAACCTGCTCAGTTTCTGCACCTTAAGGGGCAAACGTTCCCGGAATGAACTGAGGCCTTCTTGCACAATGGGTAATGATGGTTCTATCTTACTTCATATTTACTGTATCATACTAGATAGTTCGTCTGCTCTGGCGCTCACTGATGCTTTTCAATATATTTATTACACGTTCGTTGTTCATATTCAATAAAATATTCACTGCTATCCAGTAAAAGCATTTACATGATTTTTGAAATTTTGGTTAAAATTTGAAGATTAAGATTAGAAGAGGTTAGTTTCATAAATGGGTACTGATCTGTCCTTGACCAGTCATTATGATTGAGACTTAGTCAGGAACTTCAGCATTGCATTTGAAAATACTTCCAACTGAAAATGCCCTTTGCCATCTATCATAAATTTAAGAGGACTGCTTGCAAAATATTCGCTATAACAAAAATACAGTTAATGTTTTTGAATGCTGCCCACATTACCAAGTGAATATCAACATTGTCAGTGTCCATAAGATGGTTTATTCAGAAACTTTATGTCCTTAACCTATATTAAGGGTTTAACCTGTATTTATGTTACTTGAGTATTTTGTACTCAAGACATAGTTTGGAAAACCCAGACCAAAATAGAAATGCTTTTCATTACCGGGTTCAGATTAACATGACTAAGGGGTTTAATGCAAATTCCAAAATTAATTATTCATGAATTTAGAGACAGCTATTTTATCATTTCCACTCTACAGCACATGAGACATTCGCTGAGCTGACTCAAGGGAAAGAAAAGAAACAAAAGCCTGAAAATGTGCCATGCAATACAGGGTGAAAGCAAATCTTTTTGTGGATCAGTTGTAAATTGTATTCACAGGCTTTCAGAAATGAGTGTTACCACACTACTTGTGTAGATTGAAATATACATATAACAATTGTGATATAAGTCTAACTTAAATGTATGTTTAAATGGCTATAGACATTGGTCTTGTCTCTTAGCCTGTCTGAACGTTCACCAACTGTTACAAGTATTTGATTTTGATTCTGAGCATTGAAAGGTAGTAAATATAAATTATATAATGAGTGGTTAAGGCAGTGAACATATTGAACATAATGAGCTCATATGAAGTGAAATTTCGTATATGCAATTATGGAAACGATTGACCAATTCTGATTTTAAAAAGTAGAATATGAATTTGACTGATATGAAGATATGCTTTCTACATTAACAGAAATTAGGTATAATTTGTATTTTATTGTCATCACGGTATGTTTGATTGAAAGGAAAAAGCACCAGATGTAACAGATGTAAGTGTGTGTTGTCTTTTTAATTTTATGATAGTTTTCCAATTATGAAACATAGTAGATTGCGATGCAAGTACAGGGCCTTTTTGCTCAGTGTAAGTGATTTTTAAAAAGGGTATAACAGGATCTTGTTAATAAGATAAGAGCTGTTTCAAGAAAGGTAGGTTCATGCATGACGACAAGGTGGTGTCTTTTTAAAGGTCAGAGTATTCCTCCGAATAATGTACATAGCTGAGCATGACCTGAGAACTGAGAGTATTATTATAGCCGTGGGTAACTGTACTGCCAGATGTAGTGATCTGTGCTTATTGGTAGAAAGTATTAGTTTAGAGGTCAGTAGTTTGTGAAAAATGCTTGGTGACTGGTGTCCAGAATGTCCTGTCCTTATTACTTAAGGTGCACAAAACTGTTAGAGCATTTATCCAAACTAGAGCATATTAAGCAAATTAAACCCTGGAGGCTTTTGAGTGCCAAGAATCAGTTTTGTTTTGTAATTTATGCATTAACATTTTTAAAAGGTAATGTCAGGAAGAGTTACAAATTTGCCCAATTAGGGATCATTAAGACATACGGTATGATGCCACACTTAGCAAAATAATATTGCTTTTCATGCCTTTAGTCACTTGAAAGCCTGTAGTTTTCTTTCCCTTTGTGCTGTGTGCATTCTGGACATATAAATCAAAATCAGACAGAACAACTGCCTCTGCAGTTTCAAAGAAAGCAGCAGGCTATTAAATTTATTAGTAAAACCAACAGACGCTGCAGTTTTACATTAATAATGACCTTAATTAAATGGAGAGATATCCAGGAAATTGAAAGAGCAATGCATTGAAGTTAAATCTGTCATTCAGCAACTGACCTGTGTTTCCAGGGACTGATACCATCTCAGCGTTATTAAATTCTCTTACCTATAGCTTTTAGAAGCATGTCTCTAGACGTTATTTATGCCAAAGTAAATTTTACATTTCAGATACTTAAATGATTAAAAAACATATAATATACAGTAGATATTATATACTAGAAAGTGAAAATATTCAACAGGATTGAGGCTGAGAGATTAATGTGGTGCTGCTTGGTTGTAGAATTTACCTGGGGAAAATTTTTTAAAAATGAACACTTATTATAAGTTTACTATATTTTTTAAATTAAACATTGTTTTTATATAAGCCTATGGACTCTTTCTGGCACATAGTAATTTATTTAAAATAGGTTGAAAGTGAAAATAAAGTACCTTAGTCTTATAGTGAAAAAATGCGTTTTAAGTTCCCCAGCTTTGTATTATTTTAGGTTGGTTGACCACTACTAAAATTATGCAAAGTATGGGTTTTCTGGGTAGCCCTAGGCCTTTTTTATTTTTCTATCATTGTCAATTCAAGAGTTTGAAATACTTCAGTATTGGTTTAATACAGTTTCCATGTAAGAAGTGCCTCGCACTCTCTTCACCGAAAATATAAGATCTTCCATCTGCTGTTGGAAAGAGCTTACAGAGTTAAAAAAACAGACACAGTTACCTGGATCTTAATTCTATTGGAAAACTGCGTAACTGCTATTCTGAATTTCCAAAATGTGTAAATTTTAAGGAGAGTAATTTCATCTCAAACATCAAAAAAGTAAAATTCACATTTTGACCGTAATTTTAAGTAAAGTTGCTAATTTGTTTAAACAAACTAAAGCGTTTGTCTTCTGGTTTTAGAAAAAAAATAATAAGCCGTTCCTTTTAAAATAGCTAATGACAAGGTAAACATTTATAGTAAAAGCTTTTACTGTAGTTAAAGGGTAGAACATATTGTAGCGTCTACTTAGGCAGGGAAGCAAGCCACTTTTAGGTTGTATTTTAATAAAATCAAACCTTCCTGCTAATAATCTCTGGAAATTTTCCTTTCATTACGTACAGACTCAGAGCCTGGAGCAGCTGCCCTTGTAGTCTAATTGGTATTTGGCAACTAATGAATTAGTTGAGAAAAGTATAAGTGTAAGCGCTGAAGCTCAGCATTTCCTCATTCTGGTCTACAGTAGCTTTTATGTGCTATAGCAGAATAATGAATACAAAGACCCTGGTTTCAAAACAGTTTTTCTACATTAAGCAAATTCTCACCATAGATAATATGCTACTGTCTTCCCAAGTATATGGAAATTCTGAAAGGCCTGCAATTAATGTATTTGTTACAATTGGTCCCAATTTTTTCTCTGCGAACAAAAGGATCTCATTATCGGCTAAATTTGTTGAAAGATGTAGATTTCGCTATAAACTGTTCAGGTTCCATGATTTAACTTGTGTTTCTTTTTAGTAATGAAATACTTACATGGAGTAAAGACTGTTTTATAACATTTGCTCTTACACACTCTTCCTGTAATCACAGTACAAAGTGATATCATAATAGAGCTATTTATATTGTGCTCTTAAGAACCAACAATTTAAATAATTGTATTAAATAAAAAGCACATATAACAGTAAAAGATTAAAATTCACAAGCATGAAAGAAAGAAGATTGCAGAGGATAAAACCAAAAAAAGTGCCTTTTGGAAAATGTAAATGTTCAGGCTGTATAAGTCTAATGAGGCCCAGTGAGTCTGGGGTGGTATATGAGGGCTTTTTGCAATATTGCAATAAATGTAAAAGACCAGTCGTCTTGAAGTATGCAGGGTCTTAGCCTCCTGTACATTCCTGGATTGTTCTCTTG